GATGAAAAAGCAGAAGCGCCACTAATCGGCAGTCATGAACTATTGTTGCCTTGCAGCACTTCTTTTTCTGTATTGTTGTACCAGCACTACATGCCAGGTATGAGATTAACTCAGTGCAAAAGAAGGCTGATCAGGTTTTAAGCCGCGTGGTCATGAAAACTGAGGATACCACGTGGAGGTTTACTGAGCTGATGCTGTCTCTAGAGGGCCTTGGCTTCTTGTGCAAATGTGTGCCGCGAGCTTGCTTGCCGAGCTTTTCTAGTTGTGCCTTTTTCGGATGTGGTCCGCAGAAGCTTTGGGATTGTGGGCAACTCTGCTACAGAATCTTCAGGATAATGCTGCCACCCTGAGAGACTTGCAGTTCCAAGGCACTGCCACATTGGAAAGAGCTTTGAACGTTGCAGGGCAGGGGTAACCCCTGAGATCTCCCTGCACGGATTTTCCGGCTTCCACACATCCCCATGGTCTCCAGAGGACACAGGCCGACAGCTGCCCGGCCGAGACCAAGCTGTTGCTATGATAGCTGCTGACAGAAAAAAGATAGAAACGTGGGGCTTTGCGCTTGACAGCAATACCGGCTTTTTGCGTCCAGGTGCTGCGGGAGAATCGCTGACAGTGGCCTCGCACCAAGTCACCAGGTAGCCTTGCGCTTGGATAAAAGCCGTTCCTCTGAAGGACTCGCGGGACCAAGCAGGATACCAGTTGTCAAGCATTCGCCTTTTCCTCTCCTCGGTCCTTGGCGCTGACGCAGCCGTACCTTGACCTGAAATGCAATGCCCATAGCGCAAAGCCAACTCGCTTCCTTCTCTGAGGCAGCTGCTCAGCGCGCATCAGGTGAGCTGCCGGTATTGACGGCACTTGCAGGCGGCGGCGCAGCTGGCCGGGAGCCTAAATGGCCTCTATTTGAATAGCTCTGTTGACATTAACTACCCCTGCTTCGTAGTGTCAGGCAGCCAGGCAGCACAGCTCGTGCTTGCACTTTCTCTGCTGCTTTGCACGCCCTGCTGAGGGGCAATGTTGCGTCAACTCCTCGTGCTACTCCAGCATCCCGCCGCTTGCCCGAAAGCTGCTGCAAGAGCAAGCAGACAGTCCGATGTCTGAAAGCTAGGGCTCAAGATCCTTCGCGAAGCAAAGCTATGGCTTTCTGGCGCGCAGGAGGAACAGCTGCAGCCGTGGCAGCTGTAGGCTTAGTCTTGTTGAAGTTGCGCCAGAGCCGGAGGGAGGAGAAAGCGCAGAAAGCTGCCAGCATCAAACAGCTCGCTCAGCAGATTTATGAACTGCTTGTGTCGAGGAAGCCCCGCCGCATTGAAGGATTGGCACCGGAGATGTACAAACTACCTCCGTTCATCGAGAAGCAAACATGGTCACAGCTGGGCGACGCCCTTTGCTTCAGTGAGAGCCTGAACATGAACGACGTGCCAGGGGAGCGTTTCATAACACTACGCTTGGACGGCAGTGGCTTCTCGAAGCTTACCCGGCGAATGGCCTCGTTGGGCGTATTTTCACAGGGCTATTCGGAGGAGTTTGCTGACATCATGAGGGATTGCTGCCAGTCGCTGATGACTAAGTTCAGCGCCTCATGTGGGGGCCCTCTGGAAACAAGTTGGATCAAAACTGCAGAAGGCTTGTTATGTGGAATTAGTCTTATGCCTCGAATGTAGCCTTGCAGGTGGATACACGCAGTCCGATGAGATGACGATCGTCATTCCTGCCACAAGGGTGATAAGGGGAGAGCAACAATGCCACTCTCACCGCGGGCGCGTTCTGAAGATCTGCAGCTTGGCCTGACCCTTTCGACTCGCAGTTTTGTCATGCTTCTCGCAGCTGACAAGAGAATATGCGAACCAAGGCACCCTGGCGGCCTCCCATGTGACGTCCTTGTTCAACTTTCGCATTCAGAGTTTGTTTGCTCAGAGCGGCCTATCCATGGAAACATCCAGCCTAGCAACGTTCGACTGCCGCATGGGAAGCTTTGCCACCATGGAAGAGGCGTCGCACTGAATATGCAGCGTGTTCGGACGTTTCAGTTGGATACTGTAGAATGCATTGAAAAAGAAGCTTGATCTCGCTGGCCCAGCTCTTCCGTTTTGAAGCATCGCCATCATGCAATCCTTGCTGTATGCACCAAAACTTGGTGTGGTTTCCAAAGCCTGGCAGCAGGAAGTGCTCAACGGGTGTTTTCAAATTTGCTTAGCTTGTCTGCTGACTGGTCGAACATAGATCCCCAGCAGCAATAACATCGATGTGCGTGTGCAGGCGCTTTCCTTGGTGCTCTGGAGAGCCGCGGACTGTGGTGTGAATGGGGTGTCAGATGCTGTGTACAAGTCCAAAATACCGGGAGCCCGCAAGGTGATGTGCTGCTGGGCCGCATGCAGCAATGCGAGTGCGGGATTCCATTGACATAGCGTTGACTTGTAATTCCCACACTTGACTCGACAGTGACAGGCAAATCGACGTCCGAAAAGCTACAGTGGCTGGCTGAACACGGCCTCCTGCCTCTGAAGCCTCACCAAGCATACGGCTCCTTCTTTGTCCGATGTCTCCGGCAGCATGCCCTGAACTCAGCATACATGGCAGAGCCTCCTTTCAGTGGGGGACGCGAAGCCCTGAGCTCTGAGGAGGGCGTCAATCCAAAAACGGGCGAGACTGTGCAGACTCTGCGCTCCGGAATCCAGGAGGTTCCTGACGCCAACATCCTATGCCTAGCAGCTGCAAAAGCTTTGCTCCCACAAATCCTGCAAATGGGACCAGACGCTGCAGCGCAGAGCCCTGACCAAGAGGATTGAACAGGGTCGAGCTTTATCTCCAAAAGTAGCGTCAAGACACGCTGCATGTCAGGTCGTCATTGGCCAGACAAGGCTGTACAGGTGAAATAGGCGCAACAAAAAAAAAGCGTTCACAAGCTTGATCATGCGACTTGCCAGTGGTTTGTCCCTTGCTGTTGTAAGGGACATTCTCTCCGCTGAGATCTCAGGATACGGACGTGGAGGAAGCCATCAAATTCTTGGCAGCGTTCTCAGCGGGTTGACTGCCCTTTTCACAGAGCTTGAGCGAGGTTGGGGTCAGAGCCGCCCTTTGCCACTGGCAGCAGCATGATGCCCAATGTTTTGCCATTTAATGATCTGGCTCAAGCTACGGAACGGCCCTGTAGATTACAGACAACTGAAGACGGCCGCGGAGCCGAACCTCCACTTGGCGCCATGGGTGATGGTACTCCTGCTATGGGCAAGCGCCACAAGAAGACTCACAGCTTGTGCCCTCGATGTGGGAAACGATCCTATCATCAACAAAGGATACGGTTGCAGGGTTTTGCCCATCCACACATCCATGGGAACAATCTGTGTTCTGGAAGCCTGTGCTGCAGGAAGAAGTGTGCGGCGTGCGGCTACCCAGCAGCCAAGATCCGCTCATATGAGTGGTCCAAGAAGTCCAAGCGCAGACGAGCCCCAGGCACCGGTCGCATGAGGCCCAGTCTTATGGTGAAACGTTGTGTTGAGGAAATCGTTTGACACGTTTGTCTTCGTGTGCGTGCCCTGTGGCAGATGGGCTTTTGACTGCTTGTGTTTGGAGGTACGTGAAGCACGTGGCACGACGCTTCAAGAACGGCTTCCGTGAAGGAGGCGCCGCACCAGCCAGGAAGAAGAAGGCTGCGGAGAAGTGAGGGGTTTACCCCATGGGATCCCGCATAGAAGTTTCAGTTGTACGTGACAGGAGCATCCGGGAAAAAAAACGGTTTTCGCAGTTCCTTGCCGGAGCTTTCAAACGTGAATGATTTAATTGGGATGTTGGGCTGAGGAATCAGCGTTCTGCGCAGAAGCATCCTGGGGCTCCGACAGACCGTGGGCAACAGCTGCAGAAGCGGCCATACTCGTGCTGCTTCGCTCCTCAGCTGACTTTGGAGAATCAAGATGTGATTGTTTTGAGGATGTTCTGGGGCCGGGCAAAGGGCGTCACAATCGAGAATCTTGTTGCCAGTCAGGGCAAGAAAAACAGGTTGAACCAACTCCTGTGTGAAACGGGCTGGTGCCGCACTGCTCTTGCACAGAGGCAAGAACTGTTCAGCAGTGGCAGCTAACATAGCTGCGGGCTTGAAAGTTGTCGAGGAGGCAAGGACCGCCGACATGCCTGTAGGCATTGCGCTCCAGAGAACGAGCAACACCATAGCTCCTGCAGGCTAAGGCCGAGTAGCACTAGGTCACTAGGCACTCATGCCATAGCGAAGGCCAACGACTGGAAATGTTAGTTGATGAAGCCAATCCATTTCGGCGGGGATCTTGGGCTGTCAAGACTTCGTACTGACTGCCTCCAGGAATTCGATCGGGCAGTTGCAGCAGAAAGCAAAGCCTTGCAACGACTCCTGGCTGCCCTGGCTTGAGACTAGCTTGAGTCCACAAGAAGCATGGATGATTGTCCTAGCATGTTCTGGATCTTTCCTGAGGTGCTTATTGTGAAGTCGCCCGTCTTCGCTCAGCTGTGGCCTTTCTACTCTCGCGGTTCACCGGATTCGCAGTCGAGGAGACTGGGTCCGCTGATGGGCACGGGCCAAAGCACAGCTTCAGGCAGGTATGGCATACCAGTCATACCAGGTATGGTATGGATAAGACTCTGCATGGACAGTTGCAGTACAGTGGAGCTGAGAGACTGCGGTACATGCACCTTATGCACGAGCTGTAGAGAATTCGGCTGATATGCAAGCAGTGTAGGGCCTGGGGCCTTTTACCACATCAGTGCTCCACGACAGTTGCTGGGACAGCTGGTGATCTGCGAGGCTACAGCAGGCGATCCTGTCCCTTGATCAAAGCATCAAAGGGCCACCCAACTGAGATTAACCTGAGTTGATATTGAGGTTGCGAACATGAGTGTATTTATGGCGCCAACTCTGCAGAAATTCTTTGATCCGTGGGGATACAAAAGGGGCTCAGCCCACATTTGTTGTTCCACGATCCTTGTGCCAGCTGCTCCTACAACATCGGCTGAGGTATGTGGAAGAAGGTCTGGCTGCATGTTTGCATTACTGAGTTCTGCTGGCAGACCAATGGTCCTCATCATGTTTGCACCTGGACACAGAAGCGTTGACAATTCCAACACCTGGAAGCTAGAAGGTTTCGACCTGGGATGCCCCAACTTTGACCGGCCCAAGCAGTCTTGGTCGGTGCCGTACTCTCACTGGTGGGTGTACCGCCTGCGGCTCAGATTCCCGGGGTCCTCTCACATCACCTTGATACAGGCAAATCAACAGCAATCCAAGCAACCGGAATTCACACCTTTAGATTTCGCTGGGCTTTAGAATTTAGGCAAACGCCTTTCATGAGATGAGATTCCTTTTGGGCAGACACTTATTGACTGCCGGTGCCAACATTGCCATATCACCCAACCAAACGTGGGCTGAGGTGTACATAGAGTGAGCAACGACTTTGGCTTGTGCAGCTGACACCTGCGCAAATGACTTGCTGTCCGAAGGCTTGCTTCAACGGTGCGCAGCATCATACTGAGTCATACTTGCTTGATCCCGAGTTTGGAACAAACGAGCAACTCCAGCGTTTGTCCGCAGCCATGGTTGAGGGCATCTAGAAGATCCGAGTCAGTAGCCTGCATTGCCTGCAGTGGCCTTGATGATTCATCCAGAGTAGCAGATGTAGCAGTTTGGACAAGCCTGCATACCTTCAGAGGCACGGAAGAGCACTACTCGCAGTATTTCTTACAAGCCCCCCAGTCATTCTAAAGGAGTGTTCCAAAGTTTTCGGGGCTTTGCATCGTGAGTGGCTGGCGGTCAAAGCTGAAGCCAGGACCTCAGCGAAACATGACAGAGACTCCCTGCCAGAGAGCCTGAAGAGCCTTGATCATTTTTTAACTGAGGCCAGATGAATGAGTTGGAAGCCAAACTCTTGAAGCGGCGGAGTGTTGTGGAGGACCCTTTGCGGTGAGAGGTCGACACGGATCAGTCAGCGTTGCACTTGCGTACACGGAGCACTTGGGGTCGAGGAGTGTGGAGCAAATTACGAGAGCGTACCAAGCATTCGCAAAGAGGCTGACGAGGCATTGACGCAGATCATAAGCATCTCAGATGTCTTACAGGTCATTAGTATGAAAAAAAAAAGCTGGCTGCATGCCGGAAGCAGCATCATGTGTTGCTGCTAGGGGTGCGCCCTGCATTGCGCTTGTTTCTGATGGCTAAGATGCCGCTCTAAAGGTGCAGGTGCACATGCAAGCCTGCGATTCAGGCTACAGCTGTGAGTGCAGCAGCAACACCTCTGAAAACGTGCCTGCGGCTTGGAGACGTCCGGTAGCCATGGTAGCCCTGAGTGGTTGGGAGGGTTCAGACCCTAGCTGCCTATAGCTGCTGGCCCGAAGTTTGCTTTGAGGTGGTGCAGTGTTCAAGCGCACTCCGAGTTCGGGAGGCGGGTGGCCTCAGTTTGATGCACGGCGGTTCAAATGCAAGTTGCAAGAACCTGTGGATCCTTGCACTGCTTGCACTGGGGCTCAGGTGGCGACTTTCAGGCCGCGATCGATCGGCGGCGAGCCACAGTCGATGGTGATGGCCAGACGTTCGAGAGCACGCCCACCACAAAGAGCGAGGGGGGTTCAGATGCGTGCATCTTCTTCAGATGCCCCCTGTCCTATGCAATCACGAATGCAGCATTTTGGCTACCAAAGCAGGATGGCTGATGTGACCAGTTCTGCATCGACACCGACTGGCGCCAGCCCTGCAGGCACTGTGCCAAAAAGTCTTTGCTGGCACCGTCCCACAAGTGCATCATGCAGCCGTAGACCAATCACGAAAGCTCCTCCGGAGGGAGCTTCACTTATTACCGCACGAAGTGAGCCTGGGATCCTGGGGCGGGTGCGGGAGCCGGGGGGTGGGGAGTTTTGCCTGTTTTTTTGAGGCCCTGCGCCACAGGCTGGATTTTTCGGTCTTTCGGCCTAGATCTTGAAGGGGGTTTGGGGGGGATCTAGGGGGAATCTTGGGGGGATCATTGGGGTTCTTGGAGGGATCTTGGAGGGGTAGGAGGGTTGCAATTCTTTTCATGGGCAGTGAGGGCTGGGCTGCATGCTCTTCTGGTTGTATATCGTCTGTCTCCTTACGTCCTGTGTCACCACTCCTGTCCATTATTGAGCTTTCGTCCCGGCCCCTGTTTATTATCTTGTGCCGGCTGACTGAAAATGCTGTCTCACATCACCAACAGGCATCAGACCTAGCTGCGGGGCGGTCGACTTCAAAAAGCGGATTGTGGCAGCCTTAAGTGACTGCCACGAGCGCCGTTTCGCAGTGCAGCCACGGCAAGTACTTCTCACATCGTGCATCTGAAAGGGGATATTAATATCATTGCATAGTTTGAATTGGATTTAGAATCTCCCCCAAACTTGTTTGCGCCCTAGTGGCTGCGTCATGCTCAGGACCAGCAGCGCGCTAGCGTGGACGGAGGTGCTGAGACCTTTGCCCGCTCCTAAGATTTGCTTGCGACGTTTTGCTGCTTCATGTCCTCATGTCCTGTGGGTCCATGAGGAGAGCAGGCCAACGGAGCACAGTGCCGATGCGGGATTGGCGGTGCCCAGTCCCAGCAAAAGCTCCGGCCAGGCCCGGGTCAAGATTAACAGGGCATAAATCACTTAAGCATAGAGCTGCAAGCATGATCTCAAAGGTTTTCGAAAGCACGCCGGAGAAGACGACGGCGGATTGCGTGCAAGCTTCGGATCGCTGCACATTTCTGCGGTCCCCATTTCTCTAGGCTGCAGATTTTGGTTCATCAAGGTCTCCAGCATTCGCAGTGCCATGCAGCTGCCTGCGGCGCCAGAGCTGCAGCTGTCCCTGGCCTAGGGTTCTTGATGGTGTCGAGTCGCTCGCCTCTCATTAAGACAGTTCGCAGGCCAGCATCTACGGTCCAAGAGCTGGAGGAGCAGCAGGAAGAGGATGAGGCCGAGACACTGGGCGTGCGGGCGTGCGGCCGAAAGAAGATGCCTCAATGCGGGCGTGCGCCGTCGAGGTTGGTGATGAGGACGAGATGGACTCTTGCCCAAGTCCGACTCATTCCACTCAGGCGAAGGCCATTCACTCCGGGAGGCCGTCCTCAGAATCTAATCACAGTCGCTCTCGCAGGAGCCCAAGACAACTCTGTCCGCTTCAGACCGCCGTGCAGGGTAGCCCAGTGACGCCTTGTGGCCTTGTCACTTCCTTTTCAGCTCGACTTGCTGCCAAAGCCCAATGTGACCCGACACATCAGGACAAGTGGCGAAGTTTCGATTATTGTTGTTGTAGTCTGAGCATCAGACCCAGGTTTTGTGGCTGGTGGGCTTGGTCCACCCGCTACAAGACGCCTTTGAAAGCGACCAATTTGCAGTGGCTGGCTGCAGTCCCGTGTGGATGCTCAGAGACTCTCTAGATATCTCAAGATTTTGAGCTCTGAAAGGCCCTGCACGCTTGAGGTAAGTCTTCGCCTGCGTGCGGACGGCCATAAGTGCCACCTCGAGCTCAAAGGGCCCGTGCCTTGTTTTTAAGTTGCTGAGAGTGAAGCAGCTTGACCATGGCCTATTGGCAGAATCAGGCCTGAGGATGCCTTTGGCTCTTACGAGGCACCAAGCCAAGTTTCACGTTGATTCCTTGGAATTAGCGGTTAGGCCTTAGTGCTTCTCATTCTGCCAGGTAAAGCTTTTCGTTGGAAAAGGTTGGAAGAAAAAGGCTTTCAGGACGCCCAAGAAAGCCTGCAACCAAAACCCGGCAGCATGGTCCCGATAAAGCCTGCTCCCTGAAAGGATGTGGCAAGCAGACAATAGCATGTCCGAGGAGTTTGATACAGCTTGGGCCTTGCGTCACTGCAGTCGAAATCACGTCAATGTTTGAGGGAAGAGTACTGCAGATACAAGTAGATGATTGCCAACTGAGAACCAAGTTCCTGCATGCTTGATGAGTTTTGACACCAGCAGCCGCTTCGTACTTGCAATCAGTCAGCGACGGACCGTTGGGTGGAGCTGCCTTAGGACCTGACGAATCGAAACTCGATTCTGTGCGGAGACTCTTGGCAGCATTGACTGCGGCTTGTAGTAAATAAGGCCAAGATGAAGCCTGGGTTCTTTGGCTTGTTTGCTCACAGGTTTACTGCTTTTGCTGAGTAGGAACAGCAGGCTCCGAAGCGCCATGGCATTTGGATTGCGTAGCCGTGTAGCCCAGGTGATTTTCAAAGACAAGGCCTGACACTTGAGTACAAAGATCATGATGATAGCTTCAAGTTTGTTTGGGGCCTGCAGGGAGTAAAACTCCTGGAGGAGATCAGCGACCGCTGAGGCAGCAGCATGCTTGCAGCCTCGGGATTCTGTTATGCAGCTTCAAGGTAGCTTCATGCTGCATAGGGGATATAGGGGGCTTCCTGATTGAGTTTTGTTTGAAACTGGCTTTGCCCCTTGAGCGCTAGTCTCGGAGCCGTGTCATTTCAAAGCTGCCCGACCCGCTTTGCTCAAACCTCGAGTGACACGCGCCCGATCTCTAACGTAGTGCGAACCAGAGTTATCCAGACATTGGGCAAACTCCCTGCAGCCGAAAATGGGATGCCTAAGGGACAGACACGCTTTTGCCTCTGCCGGAAACGGTCAAGCGTTATTGTGGATTTCAAGTTCCAACGTCGGAGAAAACAAACACCCTTTCCAGCAGATTCCAGCAGCACGTTGCTCTTTGCTACCACCCATGCCAGGATTGCCAGGTAGCTGCATGACCAGTGCCTTCGTGCTCCCGTCCGAGTGAGCACAGGTACTAGCGGCAGGCCACTTCCATTTGCAGTGCCTCAAAGGAATTCAGCAAGAGAGTGCTCCATGCAAGCGTTTCTTAGAGCATTGCTAGAGGGATGCAAGCGAGGTAGCAGAAATCATGCATGGAGCATTCTGTCGCATGTGCGTTTTGCCCCGATGTTCTAATTGTCTTCACCGCAGTAGCCGGTGGTTTGCTGTGGATGCAGCCCGCATAACTGGTAGGACCGCTAGGAAGCTGCCGGGGAACCTGGGTCGTTGCCTTTGATTTCTAGCAGCTGAGCGACATCGGGTGCATCTGTTCAAGGACAAGTTGGGTGGTATTGCAGGCCCGGAGTTACCGGCAGTCATGTGCAGAGTAGATGTGTCTTCATTCATCGGCGAAGGTGTGCAGGTCAGAGAAACGAGAGACTCTTCAGCAACGATACCAGAGTCCAGGAAGCACTTTCGCCTACCGACGCAAATGTCTAGCGTCTCCCCGTGACTCCGACGACAGATCGACAGGCGTAACTTGATTGACTGATTTACCATTAGTGAGTATTCACGATAGCCGTTAAGTGCCTAATCAGCGATTGTGACTGGTTGCAGTCAGTCCAAGAGTCGTCCACACGAGGAGGCCACAGCGTGCCCGCTTCTTGCCGAGCCAGCGACCGGCATGGCAGCGGAAAATCCAAAGGAAGCAGTCCGCCCCGATGGACCCAAGCCCAGCCAGCTACAACATGCCAAGCGCACCGCAGCGAATCACTCGTTCCATCGACTGTGACTAGAAGCATTGTCCGATCATCTCCACCATGCTCATGACTGGTAGTATTTCTTGGAGTACATATTCGTATCACGGGGATCAGGATGGCTCATTTGCCTGCATTTTGCTTCGCATTGCTGCTGCTACCACCTCCCAGAAGCCTCTCAGGGGTTTCAGGGGTCTCCTACGACTACTACGACCTACTACTACCACCACTACTACTGCTACTCCTACTACTACCTACTACGAACTATAAACTAGTACTGCTACTACTACTACTACTGCTACTACTACTACTACTACCACTACCACTACTACTACTACGACGACGACGACGGCGACTACTACTACTACTACTACTACTACTACTAGCTGCCCCCCCCCCCCTACCAACTATGTTTGCTTAAACTGCCAATATAAATATGGGGCAGGCG